TAGCAGCATCACATTGTTGTTGATGGTGGTGGTGTTGGTTGGATGGTTGGCTGGCTGGCTGTTTAGTGGTGCCCTCATAATGGTGTCACTGTGGCTGTGATGACCTTCATTACCAACACTCCTAAAGTGGAGGTAGCTGGGATATCATTTGCTCTCCTAATACCCAATTATTTTTGGTGGTCGGCAAATTGTTTTTTTTTTCTTTGGTTTGTTGTTGCTGCCAGATTCTCGTGCGATACGCTCAAGTAAAACAATTAGTATTATTTTCCATTAGACTTGGGGAATAATGGCGTTTATTTGTTTGTGTAAGTGTATTTGTGTTTGTGTTTATGTCATTGTCCAGATGAATGATGCGAAAAATTAGAAACCACAATAGAAGCAAAGAAGAAGAAGAAGCGAAAAAGTGTGGAAGAAGAAGAAATAGAGGGAATTAGAAATAACCTAAACAGGAAACCACTTTGGCTGTCATTGACATTTGACAGTTTTGTGGTTTAATGAAATCCAACGGACGTACGCACACACACACATTGCCATTAAGAGGCCCATAAAACAGTATGTCTGAACATTTGTGTGAATATTACAACACCGAAGGCCATTATAAGGGAATGTTATGTCGCGTTTCGTGTCTCCTTTTCGAATCAGCAAAATCCATTATTATGATTTTCCGCCCACTCCCATTCTCTCCTCTCCTCCTTCTTCCCTGTTGGCCAAACCTCTTGTGGCGATGATGATGATAATAACTGAGATGGTAAGGCGAGCAATGAACTACATCTTGAAATAATGACAAATGATAAGTCCTGTATATCCGACAAACATATACACGGGGCCATCTTGATTTGAGTTTTTTTATTTTTCTTGGCTAACTATAAAGGAAATCGTATAGGGAACACCTTTCCCGAGAGAGAGAGAGAGAGAGAGAGAGAGAGAGAGAGATTATAAACGCTCAGCCTGACAAATAATAATAGTAAAACTTAATGATAATGCTAATGACAAACATTTGTTTCATTTTCTCCAAAGGTGGTCCAGGGTTTTATGCGAGATTAGCCGAAGAGAACATCTTTTTAAAAATGTACATGAAATTAGATAACAAAACGGTATCGTAACGTTTAGTTTTAATGGTGGCATTTTTATTTCTTCTTACTAGTGACCAGGGAATGGAATTTATAGAATATGTAATGACATGAAATGAAAAACTCAGAAGTGTTTTGGTAAACAAAGGTCGGAAAAATTGAGGTGATCTCTTAGATAGACTAAAAGTCTCAATGAGGTCTAAATGGAGGAGATGGTGGTACACTCAAGCCTACGGCGAAAAATTGGTGAGCCAGTGAAGACCCTAAAGACGAGAGGTTATATACAATGAAGGTACTATACAGGGTGAGATAAATAAAAAAAACTGCAACATAGTCAAACACCATAATTTTTATTTTTATACCCTCCACATTGGAAGGGAGGGTATATTAATTTTGTCATTCCGTTTGTAACATCCTTAAATATTCGTCGTAGATCCCATAAAGTATATATATTCATAATCAGCATAAAATTCTAAGTCGATTTAACGATGTCCGTCTGTCCGTCTGTCTGTCCGTCTGTCTGTTGAAATCACGATACAGACCATATTATTTGACGTAGAGCGCCAAAATTTAGCAGAGCAATTGGTATTGTGTCTAGGATGGTTGGTACTGAAAATGAGATATATCGGTCCACGTTCTGGTATAGTCCCCATATAACGGTACCTCCCGATAATCGGTATTTTGATGATTTATGACACATTTTTTCACGGATTTGTCTGAAAATTTGTATTTGTGGGTCATAACGGATCACTGCACGTGTGTCAAAACATTGCATGTATAGGTCCACGTTTTGGTATAGACCCATATAGCGGTACCTCCCGATATTCGGTATTTTGATGGTTTTTGCCACATTTTTTTTAACGGATTTGTCTGAAAATTTGTATTTGTGGGTCATAATGGGTTCCAGCTCCGGTGGCGAAACATTGCATGCATAAGTCCACGTTTTGGTATAGCCCCCATATAACGGTATCTCCCGATATTCGGTAATTTGATGATTTTTTCACATTTTTTTCACGTATTTTTCTGAAAATTTTTATTTGTGGGTCATAACGGGTCCCTGTACGTGTGGCAAAACATTGCATGTATAGGTCCAGGTTTTGGTATAGCCCCCATATAATGGTACCTCCCGATATTCGATATTTTGATTATTTTTGTCACATTTTTTTAATGGATTTGTCTAAAAAGTGGTAATTGTTGGTCATAATGGGTTCCAGCTCCGGTGGCGAAACATTGTATGTATAGGTCCACGTTTTGGTATAGCCCCCATATAACGGTACCTCCCGATATTCGGTATTTTGATGGTTTTTGCCACATTTTTTCACTGATTTCTCTAAAAATTGGTATTTGTGAGTCATAAAGGGCCCTAGTTTGTGTGGCGAAACATTGTATGTATAGTCCACGTTTTGGTATAGTCCCCATATAACGGTACCTCCCAATATTCGTTATTTTGATGATTTTTGTCACATTTTTTCACGAATTTCACTGAAAATTTGGTAGTTGTAGATCATAATGGGTCCCAGTTCGTGTGGCGAGTCATTGTAATTATAGGTCCACGTTTTGGTATAGCCCCCATATAACGGTACCTCCCGATATTCGGTAATTTAATGATTTTTGCCACATTTTTTTTTCACGTATTTGTCTGAAAATTGGTATTTGTAGGTCATAATGGGTTCTAGCTCCGTTGGCGGAACCTTGCATGTGTAGGTCCACGATTTGGTATAGCCCCCATATAATGGTACCTCCCGATATTCGGCATTTTAATGGTTTTTGCCACATTTCTTCTAATGTTTCCTTTACCCTAAGGTGGAGGGTATTAAAAGTTTGGCCCGGCCGAGCTTAATGTTTTTTTTTACTTTTTTTTAATTTTATTGAATGAAAACAAAAAATGTCGGAAGTAGCATCAAATTTCAGAATGAGTTTATATTTTTTCGGATTGGTCACCTTTGGCACGAATTATGGCCTATGAAACCGTCACACGCTGCCCGAATGTTGCTCTGCGGTATTTTGGCCCATTCCCGGCGAAGTGCTTGACTGAGGTGATCGACACTTTGGCATTTTTTAGTGCCAACCTTGTTTTCCAAAATACTCCACACAAAATAGTCCAACGGATTGGTAACCGGAGATTTTGGTGGCCATTGTGCGCTGGAAATGCAACGAGGAACCTCATTTTGTAAACATTCTTGGGTGGCGCCTGTTGAGTGCGATGCTGCTGAATCCTATTCGAATGTCCAAGAACTGCTGCCAAAATGTTTGCGTGCCCAAGGCTTCAATACACCCTCCAGAATATTTTCGCGATAATATTCGGCATTTATTCTGAAGCCAATGTCGATTGATACGAGCGAAGAGCGACCATCGGCTGTTATGGCGGCCCACACCATCACCATGGCCGCTGCGCTTGAGTTCTGGTGGCCAACCGAAGGTGTACATTTTCAGCTGACCTATTTGGCAAGTAAACATGGTCATTTTGTTTGTGTCCAATTCGGCAGTTCACCACTTTCGGGCAAGTGAAGCAACTCTTTAGCACTTTTGGATCTATTTTTTTCCATTGCGGTGTAAGTTCTTGCCCTTTTTGAAATTTCAATGGCTTTACCCCGCCCTCATTTTTTCATATTTGCCGAATGGAATATTTGCGATATGTTCAGCTCAAAAGTTATTTTTATGGCCACTGTGACGCGGGTTTCGCTCAAGTCGCTTCTTTACTTTTCAAACCATTTCTGCTGATGTTGCTGTTTTCTTCCGTCCACCTCCTTGACGTCGGGCTACGCTACCAGTATCACGGTAACGAGCGATGGTTTGAGACACAAAAGATTTATTCACATTTAAATGCTGAAGTGCTCTAACGATAGCCACTTGTGGTTTTCTAGCCAAATATAAAGAAATCACAGTATCACGCTTGAATTCCATCACGAATAACTTTTTTTTTTTTTTTGGAAAATTCTAACCAAAATGCTTTTGTACGCTTTTAAGCAATATAATGAACTGTCACTGGAATAATTTTAACAGCTATCGGACGAGTGGCTTAGAAATGACAGCAGTCTGAAGTTGGTTGCAGTTTTTTCATCTCACCCTGTGGGTACAAATTTCAAAAAACTTCCTCCATATCCCAATCCTACACTCCATCAGTAATAATAATTTCAAATTCCAGGATTCCAGCTCCTTCCGATATTCAAAATTCCAATTGTACTAAATTTAGTACCATGTAGTACATTTCGTATAATTGAGTGGCACACTTGCAAAACTACCTCCTTACATCGATTCTACTCCTCAACGATGATTCCCATTCCAAATTAACTGTAACCGTTCACGTGATACGAAATGTTAGCAAATATGGTACATTTTAGTACTATTCGTACACTTATAGTGTGAATTTCCAAAAACCCTTTGGTACATCTATCGTACCCTCCATCAGTGACACTCATTCCAAATTTATGAGGTCTAGCTCTACTGCTTCCTTAAATACTAAGGGTACCATTTTTAGTACCTTTTTAATACTTGTCGTACCGTTCTAGTACGAATTTCCGAAAAACCAGCCTTGTTGCTCAGAATTCGAGTCAAGAGTAAACTGCGTTTTAAATATTTTTTCAAATGAACTAAAGTCAATTTTTTTAATACTTTTCGGAAGGTCTTATATATTTTTTTAATATTTTTATTTTTTTATTTCTCATACGAAACCACATCAAACGGAAAATAAATACGAAACTATCCCCTCTAGCCTGTGGCAAAATTATATTACAAAAAAAAAAAAAAACAGAGAAAATTGGAACTCAATTTTCTTCATCATTTACCTTTACGGAAATTACACAATTTACAAAGGGAGTCAAGATGTCTCCGGTATATATGTATTTGTTACTTGCTTTATGACAATACCGCATGTTGCATAAATTCATATTCATACTTGTGCATCCCTCCCGACAATGTTTTCGAACTTACCTTATGGCAATACTTTTCGATTTCAAATTATTCCAACGTTGATTCATTTCATCCAAACGCCGTTGGAGCATAACCGCATCTTCTTGTGAGGTAAGTGAACCCAGCAACTTGCGTCCAGTGCCATCGAGACGATCATAAACCACACGATGTGTTTCAATTTCCGATTGTAAATCCTACAAAGAAAATGGAAGAGAAAAATACAGACAAATAAGTAAAAAGGATGTAAAAAAACGGCAGCATTACAGGAAAACTGTTAGAACATCGTACATGAAAAGGTAATGTTGTTGTTGTTATTGTTGCCATACATTTTTATTTATATGCATATAAAATATGCTAACGTAAAAATCTATTTATAACTTTAGCAACAACAAATTGTGCAAAATGTTTGCCTCGCTCCCCTCGGCACCATGAATAGCAACAAATATACATTTGTAAAGGAAGTAGCCGACACACATACTCACATGGGGAGAGAGGAGAGAGACCCCATCTCATATGCTGTGATGTGTTTCCTTCAAATAAACGGATATTTATAGGCAGTCCATGGTATTTATGAGAGGTCGTATAAATACAACTACATCGTTTTGCACAGCAATACACATGTGTGTGACACTTATTGTTATGCATATTTGCAACAAAGTTATACACATTCATGCATATATAAAATAGAAATACTCTGTATTTACATTTGTTATGTGTCGTTTTTTCTATGTTTTTTTTTCGTCTACAATCAAAAACAATTGTATGCGAAATGTGTGGAAATAAGAAAAATGGAAAAATTTGGCAACAAAATATTCCAAAAAGGACTATGAATGGCAATCATATGCATTAAAAGTTTAAAAGCGGTCCCTCCAAAAGTTTTCAGGCAACAACATCGAATTTTAATTTTTTAAATATTTGCTAAAAATATGTTTTTTATAACTGGTTTTTTTTCAAAATAGCTTGTGGTTGGATTTCATCTTTTCAGAGTAGACTTCTTCGAAATATTTTAAATACAAAATATTTTAAAAAATTTAAATTACATATTTAGAAATATTTAAACCTTTGTTTTTAGAACTATTTAAATTTATTTTTTTTTCACGTTGATTTTTTTTAATAAATTGTGGATTTTTTAAAAATATATTTTAAACCAGGATCATTAACAATATTCTTTCTTATAAGCATTTACTTTAACGTAAACTTTTTACAAATATTTTTAATACTGGATTTTTTACAACTATTTAAAATTGTGAATGTGGATTTGGTAATAGCATTTTTTTAACGTGTTTTTTCTATCGTTTTTGTTAAACTTGGATTTCTTATAACACTTTTTTAAATGTACAATTTTTAATAACATACTATTAAAAGTGGATATTTCAATAATATATTTTAAAAGTGGATCTTTAACCGTATTTTTATTTTAAAATAAGATCATTTTTATAAACGTGGATTTCTTTAATAATTTTTAAATAAAATATTTTTTTAACGTGGATTTCTTAAACAATAATTTTTAATAAAATATTATTTTTTAAACGTGGATTTCTTTAAAAAAAAATTGTAAATAAAATATTTTTTTAAACGTGGATTTCTTTAAAAAAAATTTTAAATAAAATATTTACTTAAACGTGGATTTCTTACAAAAAAAATTTTAAATAAACTTTTTTTAAACGTGGATTTCTTTAACAATAATTTTAAAATGAAATTATTTTTTTTTCAAACGTGAATTTCTTAAAAAATATTTTTTAAACATGAATTTCTTTAAGAATAATTTTAAAATTTAATATTTTTTTTAACGTGGATTTTTTAAATATATATATATATATATATATATGGATTTAAAAAATAATTTTGAAATAAAATATTTTTTTAACGTGGATTTTTTAAAAATATATATATATATATGGATTTAAAAAATAATTTTGAAATAAAATATTTTTTTAATGTGGATTTTTTTAAAAATATATTTTAAATGTGGATTTTTTAAAAATATATATTAAACGGGGATTTTTTAAAAATATGTTTTAAACGTGGATTTTTTAAAAATATATTTTAAGTGTGGAGTTTTTAAAAATATTTTTTAAACGTGGATTCTTTAAAAATATATTTTAAGTGTGGAGTTTTTAAAAATATTTTTTAAACATGGATTCTTTAAAAATATATTTTAAAAATATATTTTAAAAATAATTTTGAAATAAAATATTTTTTTAATGTGGATTTTTTTAAAAATATATTTTAAATGTGGATTTTTTAAAAATATATATTAAACGGGGATTTTTTAAAAATATGTTTTAAACGTGGATTTTTTAAAAATATATTTTAAGTGTGGAGTTTTTAAAAATATTTTTTAAACGTGAATTTTTTAAAAATATATTTTAAATGTGGATTTTTTAAAAATATATTTTAGATGTGGATTTTTTTTAAATATATTTTAAAGGTGGATTTTTTAAAAATATATTTTAAACGTGGATTTTTTAAAAATATATTTTAAACGTGGATTCTTTAAAAATATATTTTAAACGTGGATTCTTTAAAAATATATTTTAAACGTGGATTCTTTAAAAATATATTTTAAACGTGGATTCTTTAAAAATATATTTTAAACGTGGATTCTTTAAAAATATATTGTAAACGTGGATTTAAAAAATTATTTTTAACGTGGATTTAAAAAATTATTTTTAACGTGGATTTTGTAAAAATATATTTTTAACGCGGATTTTTCAAAAATATATTTTAAATGTGGATTTTTTAAAAATATATTTTAAACGTTGATTTTTTAAAATTATATTTTAAACGTGGATTTTTTAAAAATATATTTTAAACTTGGATTTTTTAAAAAATATATTTTAAATGTGGATTTTTTAAAAATATATTTTAAACGTGGATTCTTTAAAAATATATTTTAAACGTGGATTTTTTTAAAAATATATTTTAAACGGGGATTTTTTTAAAAATATATTTTAAACTTGGATTTTTTAAAAATATATTTTAAATGTGGATTTTTTAAAAATATATTTTAAGCGTGGATTTTTAAAAATATATTTTAAACGTAGATTCTTTAAAAATATATTTTTAATGTGGATTTTTAAAAAATATATATTAAAAAACGCGAATTTTTAATAATATATTTTAAACGTGGATTTTTTAAAAATATATTTTATACGTGGATTTTTTTAAATATATTTTAAACGAGGATTTTTTAATGTATATAGTACGAATTTCCTTTGGTGCATCTATCAGTGACTCTCCTTCCAAATATTAAAGTCATAGCTCTACTGCTTCCTCAAATACAAAGGGTATCATATTTAGTACCATTTAATACTTTTCGTACCCTTCTAGAATGAATTTCTAAAAACCCAGCCTTATCTGATCCCTTCGGACTAAGAGTGACCCTCACCCAAAATTTCAAGATTCTAGCTTAAGCCGTTTTGCCTGGGCATCGATTAATATTTAAATCCGTCAGTCAATTACTTTACTCCTTTACAAATATAGGTTTACTTATATTTTTTTTATTTATATATTTATTATATTTATTAATACTTTAAGATGTTTTTTTTTAATATTTTTTAAAATATTTTTCCTTAAGTTTTTATATTTTAAAGCCGCGAGATTGGATTAAAATTAAAAAAAATTTTAGGTCCCAATAATAAAACGGTCCCATTTTTTCAAAGTATTGCTTTTATGATTTTCCAACATTTTTTTCAAAAATGTTTTTTTTAATTTTTTGATACCCGATAGTAATTAGGATTGTTTATGACTTCGTGATAAATGAGAGGGATTCGTAACCTCTTCAGAACCCTGTTCACATTTAAAAAAAAAACATTTTTCCAAGCCCCAACCATAAACTTGAATTTGTTTAAAATACGTGTTTAAGCCAGAACAAAAAAGTTGGCTTTTTAAATATTTTTTGAAATATATTTTTCAAATCTTAATTTTAAATATTTTTTCCAAATATTTTTTTTTACATTTTATTTCAAGCCTCAACCACAAACTTGGATTTTTGTTAAATATGTTCCAAGTCTCCCTTGTAACTAAGGGCGATCAATACCCGCCTCAAAACCCTGTGGCCATCATAGAAAAAAAATCCTTTAAAAATTCGCTTAAAAAACCGTTCAAAACACTCCCTTCTGCTGTTATTATACCAACATAATCATATTCAGATTTATGAATTCTGTTTCGTTGGCTTTTTTTTATTATTTTTTCGTTTGCAAATCCCTTTTTTGTTGCTCCCATTTTAGTTTTATTCATGAGAGACCGAGCGAGCGTCATACACGTGTTAATGTCCTGCACTGGCATGGCAACAACAAAAACGACTAAAAAACTAAATCACAAAAAATAAAACTGAAAAAAAAAACAATCTCCAAGCAAAAAAGAAAAAAAATATATAACAAATCTTGTCAACATTTGTTCGCTGAGCGTTTATGCTTTACAGCAAACAGTTTGTTTACCTTTTCGGGGAGCTTGTTCAGGGGAGTGGAAACAAGAAACACAAAAAAATGGGAAAAATGGTTTTAGGCGTAAACTTATGAAAATGAATTTTATCTGCGACACGACATGAGTTGTAATAGAGTTCAAAGTTCTGCAACATGGGAACAAACTTTTACCTAGAGGCAAAAAAGGAGGATGTAGCAGTTTTTTTGGGATATGATGAGTTGGAATGTGACTTAAGGCTGGAAGCTTGAAAAAACTAAAACGAATCGATAAAAAATTTAGTATTTTAATGTCGAAATGTATATGACCTTTGATAGTTAGCGATATTCTAGAGGATATCTACAGATAAATTACATTTACTTTAGCTTTAGTTCACAAATCGTGGTGATCTCCTAAAAGTATGCAATTAAATACAAAATGTGGTAAGCATGAAATCGTGAATTGCTTAGTTTTTAATAACTCTGAAATATGGCTACAAAGGGTATATATCATTTGATATGACCAAAATGTGCCTCACCGAAATAACGGCTTTAGACCCTAGGTCTCTGTGGACCATCCGTTTCAAGACATTTGGAGCCGATCTAGCGATGTCCGTCCCTCAGTCTGTCTGGCTGATGCGCACGATAAGACTCGAAAGGAGTATCCGATTTGGTCGAATCTTAGTACATCGTATTTTTTTTTTTGTCAAACTTAGACCGAGTTCGGAGATATGCAATATTGAACAACTTCTTTTGGAATCTACACCCCAAAAAGTGGAAATTTTCAAAAA